AAACGTATACATCGCGAATGAAAAAAAAAGAGGATAGCCTCTTTATTGTATATCACATGCATAAAATAATTTATAATACGCTTGAAGATGTCCTCACTATATACATAGTTAATACTTTTAAAAAAATAGTATAAAACTTCTTATATTATACTTGAAATAGGAACAAATGATTATATTCAATGAGTAATTACAAGAATAATTTACTACGAAAGGAAAAAAACATAATGTAATAATGATAATGATATATCTTCTAATGAATGCTAAAAGTACAAAATTTGCTGAGAGCATATGAAAAGTTCATCAGGTAATATCTTGATACTTTATGAAAGCTTTAAGTGTCTCTCTCTTTCTAGCTGTTATCTGGTCATACTAAAACTAATCTTATGAGAGAAAATTGTTCACAAAGTTTATTCTGTTTGTATGTGCCGTGTTTCTATACCAATAGTAGTGAGTATATTTCATGATAATGTATTAACTTTTGTTAAGAACAAACGACAGATATACAAAGCAATATCATGCCGATGATACATCGAGATTTCGAGTAATCTTTATTCAGCTGAACAATTCGGATGTCAAAGAGTTAAAAGACCTAGTTGAGTTAGTACATTAGAAGTTTTCTGCATTGATTCAGCTTTGTATTTCCATATACTTGTATCTAAAAGTATGTGTTTACGATAGGTGTTCTGACATACTTTCTGTAGCTCTTTTACGCAATCTTTCCTATAATGTTGTACATGCGCTAAAGTATTGTTGATTCTGTATTTAGTGCATCGACCAAAACAATTTAATAATATGTGATTATGAATCGTTACTGCATGATCCGTGTTGAAGAACGATTTTGCGTACCATCCCACCTTCAGGTATGTGCCGGATCGATACACATGTTGCAGCATGTGTAAATATGAGGGGATGCCAAGTGTGTGACTAATATTAGCAGCAGAAGGCTTGTTGGTATCATTATAATTTACATCATCGAAGAAATAGACACTTCGTACTTCGTATGAAGCGTAGTGTGATTCTTCTTGGGTTTGTGACACTTTTCGTACCGCAGTCATCAGTTGTGACCAATCTTGATGTATCAATGGTATTATTATTTCATCAGTATCAAGTGGAATTATATATTGGACAGAATAAAGATTATTATAAAGACAGTCATTATATGGAATAATTTCATTTTGACGCTTAACAGGTCTGTGGCTCTCCAGAAACGAATGTCTCAAGCCGGGCAAGTTCGGTAGAGTGCCAGGTAATGATATTTTTGTCACTTGAACTAACTGACGGCTTTGGTAATAATTAAGAACTTTGCTTATGTTAGGATGAACATCAAATTGATAGAAGAAAATCTTTTTGACGCCTAGAATATACAAAAGTTCGATCCATTCGACGAGTCGCACACTTATATCCGTATGCATAAAATCTAATCCTTTCACGCATACGGCAAAATCCTCCTTTTTAGTAATAAACTGTTGATTATATCTAATCGGTAGGTTATTGGTGGCGTTGCTGCAATATGTTTCAATAAGTGAAACCGATTTCGGGATGAGGGTTCTATTTGTAGAACTGTTTGCCGGTCGAATGGGGCACGTGATCAAATAAGGTTGGAGAAATTCGTCTGATGTATAGCCCCATTTTTTCCGCCAGCTATAGTGATATATTGCTGACGTGACGACAGGGATGCGTAAATTAGCAAACCAAAGCTGACAATGTATTGGAGGAGGTGAGAATCGGTTGATCATCGCAGTAATTCGAATAACGGGCAATGGACCGCCTGATGGACGATAGTCATAATATGCATTATATAAGAAATAGGTTGCATTCGACGTGACGACCCGTTGCCAATAGATATTATTATAATCAATATCGCGCGAAGTGGGTATGTTTACAATGCATTCTTTACGATTAAAACTTTGTGAAATCGTTTTTGAATCTGAAAACGCTGTTGTTTCGTTCGATACGTGGCATAAAGACGAATTAAAAATGTTAAAGAATTTGGTTTTTGTAGTCAACTGGTGTTTACCATCTAAAAAAAAGTATATTACTGAACGCAATACATCTCGTCTTTTACAACGAAATCGTTCTGTCGAGAAAAATTCTTAAGATGCCGTATGAACTTGATTTTTCTATTCAATTTGTATGGTCAACTTTTTATGGCTGATTATATACTTTGAGATGCCTGCGGTTATTAAAAAAGCACGCTCTGAAAACTCTATTTATGATTGATTCCATTGATCTATATACTGAGAAGATTGTAAGGTTAGAAGTGTGCATGTGAACAACAAAAAATTAACCGAGAGTATTTTGAAGTATAGAAGAAATAACTTTAACTAACGAGAAATAGCTCCTAAATGTGAGCCTCATTTTGAGTGGAAAATGTACTAGTATGTTTAGTTCTCTGATTTAATTACTGTGATAACTCTCATTTTTACTCTTAAATCTTGGGATGGGGACAGAAAACTCAATTCAGTAGTGAATTTCTTCACTTTAAATAAGTTTCGGAGCAATTGTTTTGCTGCTTATTTTATCTGTGACTTAAATACTAAGCAACGATGATCTTACAGTTTTCTTCAAATTATCAAGTTTATATGATATAAAACGCACACAGATTCGGATTCAAAATGGCGAGGTAGTTCTCATTATGGTACCTCTATGTTACTAATTTAGAAAAATATTTTTGAGACAATCTTGTGTTTGTCCGATCCATCTTATAGAAACATTGTGATCCCAAATGGATCCAAATACGTTTGTAAACTTTGTCTAACTCGATTTGCGCGTTGCAAAAGTTAGCGCATCTTGACAGTGCACAAAAAGCTAGCCTTTTGATAATTCTGGTTAATTTAGTTTTCCTCTAGATGTGGTGAACATACTCAACTATAATGATGCTGATTAAACAGAAAACCAACAAACAGTGCTGTAAGAAAGAGAACTAACTCTTAGCAAAACAAGATAGATCTTGCCGCTGTTCTTTTAAATAATATGAAATTATTCAAAAACGTCATAGTAAAAAGATCGTGATTTAGTACCACACATAAATAAGGCTTATAGAGACGCCGATCTAGGTTTTGATTGATTTTCATTTCATTGTTGTGATTCTCCAAAATGACCCCGAATATGTAGCATGGCATTTATTTCCAAGTCAATCGTCGGTGTCCTCTCGCCGAATAATTCGAGAATGCTCAATACTGTATATTACATTTATAATTTCATACAAGATCATTCCTTCTTTCTTTGTGACAATTTAGTTGCCAATAAAAGTGAAACGGTTTGGTTAGAGTAATGATGAGTAGTCGAATTACCACGTTAACAACTTCGGAGCAATATATCATCGACTGTTTAACCGCTATAAAAGCATCCGACTGTGATGATATCGATCGCGTAAAATGACTGCACGGACTTAACGTAACAGCCAAACATTTGACGAACAGGACAATAACTTATAATCGATTTTATTGTCATGTTTATAAAGCTTTCGCGATTGACATCTTCTATGTTGTCGTTATCAACTTCTCACTATAAATATAACGTATACGCCTCATGATAAATAACTATTGTGCAGTACTCATCAAAAGATAATACGTTGACTTGACTTACTATGAAGATCACTGCTTTACAATCATCTTAAGCAAATACGATCCAAAATAGAGATCTATATAGGTTTCGAGAGCTGCCTTGCATAAAGCTTTTGGGGAAAAGCTGTTTATACATCACTGCAACACTCATCCAGCATACAGCTGTATTGCGAGTTTTTTGTATTTCTAAGTCTTATACAAGCATACACATCCATAAGTCACCTCTTTTCGTATGCTCTTTGTTTCAGTCAAAATAGCAATAAATTTCTTGGAGAATATTAAAGTATCTACGGAACTAAAGCACCGTGCAAAGTTAACTTTGAGTTGGTTTAAAATAAAAGAATCTCCAGACTAACTGAAAACGATTAAACATAACCGAGAATGTAAATGGAAGTCAGACTACACTGAAAAATGTTCACTTTAAAATAGAGAACCATGATCATATCATGATCTAGAGATCACATTGACTAGAGTTACTGACAGCTGAACGGGATCAACAGATGCATGACCATTCATTTTATTTATTTCTACATTATTCTTTATTATTCTAATTCCAGTGTGTACTGCCTGTTCCTTATTTTTCGAATAACTGCTAGTAATACTAAGCAGCAAAAAGCTCAAGTTTTAGTATGAGATAGAACTGATTAATAGTATACAGATTATAAATAAGATCGTTTTCAGTTCAATTTATGTATAAATTATGACGTCTCATGATGCATCAAAACTTAGGTTCTATGCTTTTTTTTTCGAGGAACTTTCATTTAGAAGTGAACTTTTACATTTTCCCTACTTTAAATAGAATTCTTAGGCACTGTTTTTTTCTTCAGTGATCTGTTCCACCCTCAAAAAAATAAGGAAGTATGAATCCAGAATGTACTGCAGTACTGTAGAAAATGCTGACCAAAAATAATTCCTATTAATATTTGATTCAATCAGATCAAAACCAACTTAAGAAGATAATCCTATAGTATGTCTACGTTTTTGAAAATATACGCGTGCGTGTCATGTGATTGATTGTGGCAGATATTTAAGATACGAAAGATACCGTAGACGATTAGCTTCGTATAGTTTGAAAGCATAAATCTACTAATTTCGTCATATTCTACCAATAGGCAGATGATAAAAGACAGCGTATATGTGGAACAAGAGCAAAGTGACCAAGTTGACAATGGGCTTTAATTAACTTCGTAAACTTTCCAGGCAACTAAAGCCAATACCGAAACAGAGCGAAAATGTTTTGTTTCAGAAAAATTCACAAAAGAATGGAGATACGAGTAGTGCTTTTATTTTGTCTAAACGGAAGAGTTAATGTTGAAATTATTGAAGATAGATCAAGACTAATTCAATGCACAATTGTTTAGATTTTTTATAAGTTTCATATAACGGATGCGCCAGGTGAAACGAGCCTCTCCATATTCTTCAATTTTCGTTCCTTAAGGCTGATTTTTTAAAAATCGTCGTTTCGAGTTATACAAAAACATGCTATTTGTATTGACGTAACTAATTTCCAGGAGTTTAAGAAAGGCGATACAATCGATTAGTCCAAACAGTACAACTTTCAAAGACAATTGATTCGTGAACTGTTTTTACTGAGAACTTCAGTTGCTGAATCAGTGCTGCTTTTGATTGGGCTTTGCTCCAGTCCATAGCATTGGCCAGTTCGTCCCAAATTGAATAGTCTAGCGGATTTACATCCGGACTATTAGACGACCAACGATCTTTGTTAATAAATGATGGAAAATTCGTTTCATACCATTGTTGTGTTAAATGATATTGGTGCGGCATGGCGCCATTCTGTTGAAAGATCCACCGTATATTAGAACTACAGGAAGTTTTTTTTATAGGGTTTCAGTCCTAAGTCGATTTTGAATATTCGCCCAATACTTGTTGCAGAAATAGCAAGATCTTGGGATAATACCCGAGATGATATTCTTTTTTAGTTTGGCGTAAACTGCTTTTGACCTTTCGAATATTTTCTTTAGTTCTAACAATACGTGGACCACCTCGTGTATCCGGTCGATAGACAGATCCACATCGACGGATCATTTGGCACCACCGTTTAATTGTCGTTAAAACAATACCGCCATTTAAATCACGGTGAATTTCTGTTGGAGTATCACCATTTCGATACTTTGAAAGTACGATATTTTCCAGATCTTTACTTTTCATTTTTCGAAAACCTTTTTTCAATCACAAATTAAGTTGTCAAATAAGGGTATTTGTAGAGCTTGAGCTCGCGGTTTAAAAAAATGGTCCAATCTGAAAAAGACTTAAAAAGATATCGCTAAAATAATGAGAGGCTCATTTCACCTGGCGCACCCGTTAGTCTTTGGGATAACTTTTGGAGAATAAGAATATCACTTGTCTCAAAGCAGAAATATCTTACTTATCCCAACAAGTTGCCGTCGTCTTCAAGAAAAGAACTCTAAAACCGAACTTTCTATTCTGATCCTACTTGGACTTCAGCTGGCTTCAAAGATGAGCTTCTGGTGTGTTAGTATTTGTTAATAATTGGCTTACCTTTTGATTTCATGGCAGCAAAGTTCGTTTCGACATTATTCAGCTGACGATGGAAGTTTATCTGGAGGAAAACATACGAAAGTGCTAAAACAGTAGCTATTAGTCCTATGCGTGTTATCCATTTTCTAGTGATTGAGTGACGTGAACGCCGCATTCATATGCAGACTTATCAAAAGAATTTTACGAGATAACAACGTTCATAATTAATTATACATATCATTATCTTATCTATCGGTTGAAGTTGTAGATAAAGTTGGGAAGAACTTCATTGAATGCACGGCAACATACTGCAGCAATTCTGTAAATAAAGATATAGAAATTAGCATTAGAATATAGAAAAGGAGCAAAAATATCAAATACTAGAATTCGGTAAAATTCTTTAAAATTTTGTGGATCTAAATTGATTTCTTTTAGAATATTTTTAGCACAAAGTCAATAAATAAGCAAGTACACCTATCAAAACGATGTCGTCTCGTATGAACACAACATATTGACGCTAGAAAACCTCCAGATTCTCTTCTAGTCGATATCCTAGTAAGTTTTTGAAGGCTGTTTGGATATACTTTTATTAACCGTCTGATGGCATCGTTCATGAATAGTGTGATATACGAAGGAGAATCTATGCTAGTTCCTAGATTTACATAGTCAACACCATGAATTTTTCTCATGGTAACAGACACAAGTTTTTCTTTCATTTCACCGATGAGAAAAGCATATAATTTTGCTCAACGACATTCGAAAAAGAAAATATAGTGTAATCGGTATCGATCTAGGAGTTTTTAGGTTTTCCTTTTCATATGATCTAACCATCCATATTTTACTACCAGATAATTAGCACTTTAGGAATTTGAAACTACTTAAGAATCAATTATTTTCTGTCTATAGAGTTGTTTTATCGTACAAATATAATTAATCGACAGGTCTTATAGAAAATATTCTTAATATCATCTACACTGAAAAAAAAAAGAGTAGAACAATAAACGCAAAAAACGTTTATCAGAATGCAACGAATAATATACCCTTTTCAACCATTTATCCGAACGCGTTAAACCAATTTAACTACCCCTAAAAAAAGCAAAAAGAACGATTCATCAAGTGGAAATACCCACTAGAATAGGGTTTATCAAAACGTTGATCTTATTCAAAAACGCAGAAAAGGGTATCTTATTCGTTGCATTTTTATAAACCCCATTGATAAGGTATTTCAAAACTAGAAACCAAGTTACTTCTTTCACTTTATCAGCTGCAACTCCGTACATCATAGGCTAATACCCAATTAATTAGTTTAGTAAAAGTAATCGAAAGGGTTTATCTACTCCATAACCCATAGAACAGTTCAGCAGGGTGTACTTAAATCGGTTGATCAGTTCCATGAACTGACAACAGGTTATCCAAACGGTACTGCAGACCGTAGATCCGTTGCGTGAACCGATGATCCATTATCCAAACAGTATTGCAGACCATAGATCAGTCGGATGAACCAATAATCCATTATTCAAACGGTATTGCAGACCGTAGATCCATTGGATGAAACAATAATCCATTATTCAAACGGTATTGCAGACCGTAGAACCGTTGGATGAACCAATAATCCATTATTCAAACGGTATTGCAGACCATAGACCAGTCCGATGAACCAATAATCCGTTATCCAAACAGTATTGCAGACCGTAGATCCGTTGGATGATCCAGTAATCCTTTATCCAAACGGTATTGCAGACCATAGACCAGTCGGATGAACCAGTAATCCTTTATCCAAACGGTATTGCAGACCATAGACCAGTCGGATGAACCAATAATCCGTTATCCAAACAGTATTGCAGACCATAGATCAGTCGGATGAACCAGTAATCCTTTATCCAAACGGTATTGCAGACCATAGACCAGTCGGATGAACCAATAATCCGTTATCCAAACAGTATTGCAGACCGTAGATCCGTTGGATGAACCAGTAATCCTTTATCCAAACGGTATTGCAGACCATAGATCAGTCGGATGAACCAATAATCCGTTATCCAAACAGTATTGCAGACCGTAGATCCATTGGATGAAACAATAATCCGTTATTCAAACGATATTCCAAACCGTAGATCCCTTTGAATGAACCATTGATGCGTTGCCGGAATCGTATTGCAGGCCGTTGAGCACTTGGATGACCTGTAGTAAGGTTGTTCAATAGTTAGCTAAATGAATAAGAGCTTCAGAAAATAGATTTTGAAAGAATTAGTAGTTCAATGAGCTATCCGAAGTTTATGAAAATTATTCGACAGAGAAGTAAATATATTGTGTAGTTCCGTTGAGAAGTAGCTGTATCTTTGTGAAATAGGGCTCGAGAAGGGAAGAGAGCGATGAAAAGAGAAAATCGGACTGCTTAGTGGGATTGTTTTGAAGAAAAAAAGCTAATTATTACTCAAGGCGTAAAAAACAGAAATATAAACTTCCAGTAGGACTCATTATGAATAAACGCGTTTAAGTGGAATAGGTTTTAAATCTTATTACTAAGTTTGAGTGAAGATTGCAGGCGTGAACATGCATGAAATGACGACAGTTACGTTATACGCTATCGGAAGAATGTACTCTACAAACTATAAAGAGAAGTTCACGATGCGATGAGTGAAAACTTGAATCTCACTAGCCCATAGAGGACCTTTGAACTTGTAAAACCCGATTGGGCAAACAGTTAGAAGAACAAATTAAAATCGACTGTGATGATACTTTGATCTCTTGATTTGAAGCAGATTTATTCGCTTGAAAAAGGATTTTTCTGAGGCTAATTTCGTTTATCTATTGCACTGCTATCACAAATAGTCTCATCATTCATGATTTCTCACATTGTCTTCCAAGTTGGGTCAGTATCAATTAGATAATAAATCTGACTATATTAGTAGAGACTATATTCTCGCTATAATCTTATGTCTCACACTTACACTTAACTTGTGGAATAACTAGCTAAGAAATATTGTTTAAATCGCTTACCTCTATTTGTCTTTTGAATCAACTCGACGATACATATAGGTAAAGAACATTATTGAATGGTTTAACTGCTGATATTTGTTCGGCCAAATCTAAAAGAGAAAAGACATCGGAGATGACCTAATTGCTGTATCGACATAATATTGTTTGATGTATTCTACGTGTGTACTTACAGAGGAAAGAAATAGACCTTGACATTGTTCAATTGTTTTACTTTTTGTTCATGTCTGAATGGAATCCGGATATAACTAACTCGATTGCCAGCAATCCGTCATGGACAATACTTGAAATGATAGTAATAGATAATATATTTCATCGTTATTTAAGAAGCCGTTTATCGTGAATTTCTTCGCGTTGAAAATTGAAGCTAAATCAGAAATGAACTGTAGTTATTGTTGATTTACACTTGTTTGATTATCATTTAAACGACGCCTAGAAAATTCACCGAAATATATGTGAATCGTCGGAAATTAACTTATCTTCCACTTGTCATCGAGTTCCATCAAATAAAATAACAGCACGTCACTGTCATTTGATCCAACGGGCTTTCTTTGTTTAAATGTTCAGTTGTGATCTAAATGACAAGAGTGAATCAAATCATGAATTTATCAATGTTTGTTAACTTTTTATTTACTTTCGATTGAATCTGCAAATCAAGCGGAAAATGTCCTTTTCTTATCAATAAACGACTCCCATTGGTCAACGATTGAGATAATTTCTTAAATAGAAAATAAATTTAAAGTTAGGTCACTATGAACTTCAACATACTTGATTTTTGTGAAAGAAGTCGAATTAAAATTAAAGAAACGGACGAAGAAAAGATTCGAACCAAGAATCGTATAGAATTTTAATCATTGGATACACTAAATTAGATATTTAAAAGCGAATCGACAAAAACGAGAAATCAGTCGTAACTTGAAACTTACAGTAATTCAACAGATATAAAAAAAATCAAGAAACTAGATGAAGCAAATGATATGATAGCTATAAATACTATACGTCTCTTGATAGCGACAAATGCTCTTGGTGAAAATGATCAAACAATGCGAAGGACGTGGCATTTTAGAAGAAGTAAAGCTGCCTTTTTTTGCAAAACGAAAAATACATTGAAATTTTCGAGAAAGGATGATTGATCAAGACGATTGACATTCGTTTTTGTCATGCAACATGCAATGATGACGACTGTGTTAGCAAACTGAACTTTTCTTTGATAAAGATAGCGGAAACAGAAGCGAAGACCTTGTTTAATGTATCAACGGTAGAACTGTAAAGATGTACTTGAAGATCGAAGTGAAAAAATAGGGGAGATAGTTATTGAGATTTACATTTTTAATAGATACTCTTGGCTGAGAAAATGGCGTTATGAGTCAAAATTGAATCCGAGAATGCAATAAAAGAAACGTCTCTGTTATTCATTAAATTGATTATCATCTGATTTTAATTCTTTAAGAAAAGTCATGTTTTCTTATTCGGATTCGATACGTTGAAGTTTAACTTTGTTTAATATTAAAAGAAAATAATGAATAAAATGGAGAAAGAAAATATCATATCTCGAAAATTTTCGTTGAAGAACAGAACCAAGAAATTTCGAGACAGTTCTGATGAACATGAAATCGCACATACATTACAATCTTCGTCTACGTTTTGGTCGCGAGAAAGAGTTCGAGTTGGTGATGTCATTTAAAGGAACGAGATGCGTAGTTGTGGTTCGGTCACCAGTTGTCTCAGCAACGTTCAAACTTGAAGAATCTTGATAAACATCGAGGTCCTTTTTCTTTCGTTTACGTTGTTTCGATTGTGATTAAGATGTCGACTGAGATTGAAATTTCGATTGTGGCGATGATGTGTTCTCGACACCTTCACTGTTCCTGTACGAAACAGTGCGAAATGAATAAATTGAAATAAATTATCTTACTCGTATGTATCAACAGATGCGCTTGGATTTGTACCCCGATCGTCACTTAATGATGTTGTTCCAATTAACTGATTCGACACGAGAAGATTATCTTGGATTGGGAGATCAGCAGACGAATGTATTTCAATTTGTACTGTTGGTTCAGATTCGTTTTCATGTGTTGTTGAAGAATTCGATGGCGAAATCGGTATGGTTTGGTTTTGTTGTTGTTGATTATGATGTTGTTTCTCGGCGTAAATGTCGATATTTTTATCTTTGATTAATACTCGAACGGAATTTGTCAAATATCTCGTCTCTGCGTGCAGTGCTGCATACAGAAGTCGAACGGTTCGACTTTTCTTGTCGAAAGACAATTCAAATATCGTATACATAGCAATCAGCAGTGCAACAGCATCATCTGGTGAATCAGTCGAGACGATAGAAGTAAAGTCTACGTAGACATGAATCGTATCGTCGATACAAACTAACGTTGGATATGGCGTCGAAGGTTCCTACATAAAAGACAATGGTCACGAGCACATTCTGAGATTGTATACATGCGCATGTAAATGCGTCCAACTCAAGCAAGGTAGTTGGATTTGGAAGAGACTACAACCGTTTCCTTGAGCATTGTTTTATAATTGCCGTTAATGAAAAATTTTATCTAGACAATTCCCCTCATCGCTTATTTATATATGATTATTGATCAGCTCAATCTGTTTTCCAATCTTATCCTAATCTAAGTCTTGGGGGAAAATGAACGGAACATTCTATTCTGAATGTTGTTGAAAATGGCTACTTACATTATCAGAAAGTAAATGTTGGATCGTTTCACCGAACTCTCTGCACAAGACTTTCATTAATCGAATTGGAGCTGAATCTATAAGCAGATGTGACTTTCTAAAGCATATGTCAATCCTTTTATTTACCTGTTACAAATGCTGGTGACGAAACGATTTTATCTAAAATTATCTGTGTTTGTCGTCGAATAGCACCAGCTAAGTCAATCTGTAGCAGCAGTTTGATTTCTTCGAAAATCTGCTCCAAAAAGACAGAATTCAATATGCTCATAAATAAAAATTTTATTTACCAAAACTGAATCGGAATAGCCAGGGAACTTTTGAATGATTTCAGCCGTTGTTTGATTTCGTATATATTCACGGCGATATGGAAATGTTTGTCTCCACAAGTTCAATTTTATTTCAGTATCAAGCTGAGACACATCGTGTAATTGATTTACTTTTGTGTCGATATCGTTCGCAATGTGATCGTTATATGGTATTATCATCATCTAGACAGTAAAAATCAACTAAAAGGAAAAGATTCAACTATAACTTACTTGTTTGTATCGATCGCGTTGTGCTATTTCATTGATTCGTCGCTTGACAGGTCTTCCTGATCCAAGTCGGGAATATTTTGATCGATAATCCTGCAGAAGTGTATTATCGGAATGCTCTGATCGCTTTCGTTTCAACTTGGTTTGTAGTGCATCCTTCCAAATCGACTACATGTGAAAAAAGATTCATTTTATACTAGTAATTAAAAAGGTAAACTTACGATATTATCTTTTGTTAAGGGCAACTTCAAGAATTTCACAATAGCGCTTCCAATTTGATCGAACTGTTTCGGTGATGGATAGCTAAATAAAAAGAAAACATGATGAAAACGTCGACTAAGCATTCGTAGTTCTCGGAGAACTTCTACCGAAAAGAGAAGAAGAAGTATTCATTTCAGATTAGTCTCGGTGATGAAAATGAAAATAAGTACTGAAAAATCATAACGAAGCTTGTCAAAAAAAAGCACACAGTAGGACACGATTAAAGAACAGAAACAAATTATTCGAAATCGTTTGAAACAAAATTCGAGCAAACTGTTCTCTTTCTTTATTCTTGCAGTGTGTTTTATGAAGACGAAAAATCTATACTTTCACAAACAGCTCAATGAAATGTATGAGAAATGAATAGGAATTTCTACAACTAACAGAAAGGTTAACATTGTTTTCGGATGCACATACCAAACATGTTGCTAGCTATCCCTTAGAAATTATGAAAAAGGTCAGTTTTGACTACGTGGGAAAAATAAGAATATGAACATGTATTTTCTCATGAAGCATTTAATGTATTTGCTCTGAATTATCACTTACAAAAGTTTATACTTGTTGATGAGATCGTAAGAGACAGTATCGATGAGAATTTGTCGATTCGAGTAGTGCGGACCAAATTTGATTAACATTCCATCAGCAACATCTTTCATTAAATTATTTGGTAATGGTGGAATATCATATTGATCTGGAAAATGTTGATAAGCAATTGTACCACCATCAGATTGATTATCTGTAAAATTATTCGTAGACGATTTCGGTAAGCAATCGGCCGATGGTTCAATGTCAAAAACTGATATTGAAGAATTTGCTGTTGCAGTTGTCAATGATTGAGAAGTCGTGCTGATTGCTAATGAATCGTTAAGTTCTGTAGAAGCGACATTTGTTCGAAATATTTTTTCTCTTTCTTCCAAAAAGAGTAATTGTTGTTTAAATTTGGGGATAATGACCGATATTCGTTCAACATTGTTCATGAGCTTGAGAGTCGGACCGTCAACATCGTATTCTAAATGATAGGCAAAAATTGTTATGTTCTATTGAATCATGCTTTTCATACATTTGTCTTATGCTTCAACACGTTAGTTAAACACATTTCAGAAAATGAAGTGGGAATCTTTTTCTGTGGACGACGAAATGCGAGAAGAAAGTAAACAGATCACCATATAAGAAAACGCTGAAAAAGCAATCAAAACTACGCAAACCATCAAAGGACATAATCTTTCAAGGATAGTTTCCAAAAGGCCATACTGGTTGACATCAAACAAAGTTTAATCGTTTTTTTAAACTATTCTCGAGACAAAACTTTAAAAAGCTAGTTTACTTTTCACTTACTAGAAAACAGCACTGAATGAATATAATAAGAGAACAGAAACAGATACCGAATGCTATCTTTCAAAATACAATATAATTCTTCACAGAGAATTCATTCAGACAAATAAAATCAGGTCATACAAAAAACTTCACTAAGCAAATCATAAAAAAATGAAACAAGCATATAAGGTAGAAAACGGCATCAGTTTCAAAATCTCATCAATAGAGAGTTAATCGAGCGGTGAACGAGACAAAACTAGATCCTTTGACATGGTAAATATCCAATCCTTTGTGCCAATATTTCAATTGACACGGATCCATGAGAGAATAACGATCAACCGACTTGATCTCCCAAGCGAATAAATCTTCATCGAAAGATTTGGTTTCGAGTGAGTCAACTAATAACCACCATTTTTCACTTGTTCTTAGAATAAAAACAAGTTGAGCGAAACTCGGTTGTTCATCAGTGTCTCTTAATCCCATCACATAAACAGCCGATTGACGATACTCTATATTTTCATTGATTAGTTTGCGACACTGGAATAAATTCTCTTCAAAATCAAAACAACCAAAATGATTAAATACAAGATCTCTCATTTCCTTGTTGAGCGATGAATTTCGAACTGTTTTTACTCCCACGGGATAACAAGTGTTTCTTAATGGCGAGAAACGACTAAATTTGTAGCATTGCTTGAAACGAAAATGTGTGGCAAGCATTTTAGGCGTATTCTTAAAATTATTGGTTCTAATCGACAGTTTTTTATAATAGGCGTGACTTGCCTCATACCGGAAGCACCAGTGGCGTGTAGCGGGACCATAATCGCGCACAACTCGACCATACTCACGAACGAAATGAATCTTCGGAACAATTTTGTTAGGAAAATGTATAAGCATCAAATGATGAAATGCATCACATAAGTCGTCAAGAACTGACAACCAGCTTGTTCGAAACGGATACGACAAAACCAAATCCAATATTTCACGTAGTATCTTGTAAACGATAAATGACTCTAATCGATCAACTATATCCCAAAAAATGAATGGAAATGTCTTAAAAAGACAAAGTTTCTGTGCTGCTGTAGCCACAATACGTTCATTTTGTAAATGTTTCGTTTGAATAGGTGGTGGCCGATTAGCACAATCAAAGTATCCGTATTGGAAGTTAGTCGTACGTTCTTGAATACGACCTTGCAAGAAAAAAAGACAGACTAAGTGCGCATTTGAACATTCAATATTCATTCTCATAAAAACAAAAGTGAATTCTTCATTCGTCTTGTCCTCCGACTCAAAATTTATCCTTGCCCAACAAAGCAAACAAAGTTCGAATTATTAGAATGGATATATTCAAATAAATAATCACTGATATCTTTCAATTCAAGAAAGTTCTGAAGAATGCTGTGTGGTTCATTGCTCTTGAGTACAAATCAAAACTTCATATAAGAAGAATTCGTAACTCTATTTAAAAACGGTTCATAAAAATTTTGAAGGAGCTTTTTCAACGTAGAAAATCGTAGATAAAACCGATTTTCTCTCTTTGTGCTAACTCGCTAAAATAGACTGGAAAAGAAAATGACGATTTAGATACGATGGATCAATATTCTCGATGAATATTTCTTGCTTAATTTCATTAAAGTGAAGAAAGTCGCAAAGAAGCGAAGATTCATGCACAGTACTACATAAATCAGCAGATTATTACTTAATTGTTTTGCTCTCTAGCCATTTGGTTAAGTAAAATATGAACAGTAAATATTAATTCGACTCTAATTCATTTACGAGAGAGTAAAATCGAGCTATGCTGATCAAAACTCATCTTATAATCTAAGCTAAAGAACCAGTTCTCACCATGCGTTATGAGACGCTTTGATGAAGCTTCTTTCAAAAGTGACATCATCACTATTGGACAAATTCCTTCTAGCAAATCGTGCATGCAGTCAGCAGGCAGCGACGTTGTTGGATGAAAGCCGATAAGACTGTGTAGAGGGCTTTGGCCGACTACACCTTTTACAGGCGACCGATTGGGATCATTTAAAATCTGTTGAACTATTAAATCGTGATCAAACATTGTTCGCAGTTTAATTTGCGATAATGGGATCAATAAACTTTGATCCTTATAATCGATATAACACCTTCGACAAAAATGTCCATTACTGAAGCAAGTCTGAAAACCACCTAACCAATTAGCTGCGAGGTTATCCCCCACGACAGTTGAAAACGTAAATTTATACAGAGTGTTGTTGATCATAAGACCATTCAGTTGCAGTTCGTTTAAATTGTCGATTATTGGTCGGAAAAAATTCGTTGCTTTCACGGGATCCTCAAATAAACCAAACGTTCTGATATACTCCAAACATGTTACAAAACATATTTGCTGTTTTAAGCTAGGTTTATATCATACTAACATGATCTCTGTTGTACTACGCATAAGAAACACAATATATCGGGTTCAACTAACGCAAAAAGAGGAGATCTATTCGAGAAGACAATCCATTTCACTATTATTCCAATCGATTCAATACTGTCTAACTCATTAAAGCTCGTTACTGATTAACATTCGGCCGAAGATCTTTACCTTCAAGATTCTACTCTCGCAGATTGCAACAAGTTGAATGAAATCAAGCTTCGATCTGTATTTTTCCGGTATGTCTTCCAGTGTAAAATAGACCATGCTCATCTTATGTCGATCACGTTTCGATCCTAACGGATTTGTCAACCCGATATCGTCGATGTACAGTTGAATTAATAAATGATTGTCATCCAATCCCAAACCATGATAACTATCTCGGATTGAAAACATTAAATCTTTATCCAATTCGGTTATTGTTTGTTTTTGATGAATATTTTCGAGAATTTCATCAGAAAATTGCTGAGATTCAAGCATCGAAGACAAACTGTTGTCAATCGGGATAAAGTAACCACAATCAGTGTCACCAGGAACAGATGATACAGGAATTTCCAATGGAGAAGTAAAATTGAAATATTCTTCGCAATATTTGGTGAATTGGTACTCATTTTTCGTTATCAATTCAATTCCATTGCAAACATCATCGAAAACCAATTTTAATTGATTGAAATCAATACATTTTCCGAAATCACTCCGAGGAATTAACGATGCAGACAAAGGACTGTTTCCGGAAAAATCGAACGTTTTTTCCTGTAATAATATTTCAATGTGATTAATTAATGAGGTAATATATGTTGAAATAATGTTTGTTACATTTTTGGGTAACAAGAATTCTTCCCGCAGTTGTAAAATAAACATGACAAATGAGTTTTTAATATCTTTGATTGAACCAACAATTTCTTCGTTGCGATCGCTTGAGAAATAAGATATTGCATCATTATCATTTGATAAAATTGAATCTGTTTCGTCACATGCATCAGTGGATTCGGTGCTCTCGTCGTCGTTCGCAAATTCAGTTGCAGTTGTAGTATCGAAATTATTTAGTTGTGAATTATCGATAGAGATCGCATCGATAGAAGTGTTTCCGTTTGCTGATGAATGGAGTTCCGTCGAGTGTTTTCGATATACATGCGATTTGTAGGCGGAGTATTTTTTGTAAAACACACCACAGGTGTTGTGCAAATCACATTTGATTTCAAAATTTGGATCACTTTGATGGTAGAGTGTTATGTGACGAAATAGTTTGAAGAAATTTACAAAATCTCTATTCGTTGTGCAAAGTGGACAGATAAATGACGACATGAGATTCTGACGCGAAAAATTCGAAGTTACAGCAGATATTCTTAGTTTATGTCTATTGACCAAAGAAATCGTTTTTTCAGTTTAATGATCTATTTACATATTATTTCTTGTACAACGTGGCAAAACAACAAAGAAATAGCGACCAATACGATCCAATGAAACATAAAAATTCGAAACTAGCCATTTCTTTTCTTTCGTACTAAACGCGTACATCTCCTTAGCTGCAGAAAATCAAAGAAAGACTTGAAGGAAAAAATAAATAAACAAACACGGCTAAATGGCTGTGTCGTCAGATGTTAGTCTCTTGAAAGTGCGCAGCGATATTTACGGTGAAATTTAAGATACTTGGCTAGGGGTTGAAATACGCAAAAACATCATAACATGCATCTAAGTAATAAAACAGACTAACCTGCAATACGTGATAAAACTGAATCGTCATTAATGAAAGTTCTAAACCATTCAGCCACTTGCTCGCAAGTCCAATCCATTTCTCAATGATAAACACACGACGATGAAAATAACGTAATGTTGAGAGAGATTCGATATCGGTCAATGATCTACAAATTCACAAAAGAGATTTCTGCAATAATTAATAAGAAAGCAGCAATACTAGAGATCGAAAAGATGCTTGTATAAAAAAACATATCACCGTAGATTTCTTTTCTCTTCTATCTTATTCCATTGAGCCGCAGCTACTGCATTACTATACTGTGTGTTTTATCTAATCATAAAACAAACCAATAGATGGTGATAGCACTTCGTACTATGTCGAATTGTTACGAGAAATTATTCTTAAGCGACTTTCAGTTACACCATCACACAAAATCTCACCATTGCAAACGATTTGAATAGTTTCCGCTGAAAGGAATGTAAATGAGCCACTATTGTAAATATCCTATTTGTATGCTAAATCAAAGCCAAGAAGCCGTCTAGAAAGCAGATAATCTTATTTATTTCTAACTATTGGTGATTAACCCTCAGCAGTGAAAGTGTACATGAATAAACCGCTTCCAGGAGAATGATAAACCCTCTGTAGCGAGGATGTACGTACATGATTAAACCGTTTCCAGGAGAATGATAAACCCTCTGCAGTGAAGATGTACATGAATAAACCGTTTCCAGGAGAATGATAAACCCTCTGTAGCGAGGATGTACATGAATAAACCGTTTCCAGGAGAATGATAAACCCTCTGTAGCGAGGATGTACATGATTAAACCGTTTCCAGGAGAATGATAAACCCTCTGCAGTGAAGATGTACATGAATAAACCGTTTCCAGGAGAATGATAAACCCTCTGCAGTGAAGATGTACATGAATAAACCTCACTACACAAGATGATAAACCCTTCCATCGAGAAAGGTTTAAAGTATATTGTTTGTTGACAATACGAAACCTTTTTGATTGAAGCGTATATTGATCTATCTTTGCATGAAGATTAATGAGCCTCTTAGTGGCGAGCGTCGACGAATATACCCTTGTCCGTAGATCAGCAGGCCACGTAATCGGAGAGTGGAATACTCTATCATCAAAAGTAGAAAGATATACGTGTCTAAATAGAAGGTTGCATGATAAATGCAGAATAGAATAATGAGATACCCTTCCTCGAGATGCGTATGATAATCTATCAGTTTCGGTTGAACAATGTACTCTCATCTTGGTATGACAAAACAATAAACTCGTATCTCATTATGATATATCACTCTAGCTTTGATGAACCCTCAGTTTCATGAACGGTTTGAATGCTAAACCTTCGAAGGGTTGGTCACATAGATATATACCCTTGAAAGGTTTATTGACAAATTTCTTAAGGGCAAAGGTTGGTTATTATGCGGATTTTTTTTTCAGTGTAGATGAAAATGATAGAAATCTAGAACACGAAAAGCCATACTTTCTTCTCGGATGTGTTAGAAGATCTTGTTCGTCTCACATCAAATATCGTTCTTTATTTTTTTATGGAAGACAAAAAATAAACAAACGATATCATCAATATCATTCTCATAACGATAAACGTGACACACTGAATGTGACAACAAAAGGTTGATAAAGAGGTAGATCACGTTGATAAACGAATTTTTCAGTTATAAACCCTTTTTTGAGGATTTATCATTCTATGAAAATTTTTATCAGTGTATACAAAATAAAAACACTTGTGCGGAATTTGAAACAAAAGTTATCACGTATTTGTATTCCTTATCAGAATCTGTGTGTTAACGAAAGTCTAATCCTCTGCAAAGGAAGATTTAGTTCGAAACAATATTTTCCGTTGAAAAAGAAATAGATTTGGAATTAAATTATTTGTTTTATGTGATTGTCGAACAGGATATGTGTTAGACTTCGTGGTTTACATGGGTTTTCAAACACGGATTCAATATAATAAAGAACTTGGAATTTCAGGATCGGTTGCAATGACACTTATCACACCTTATCTTAACAAAGAACACAATTTATTCATGGATAATTGGTATTCAAGTCCAATACTTTTCGAAAAAAACTTCACGCAAATTCAACAGGAGCCTGTGGTACTGTTCGAAAGAATCGTTCGGGAATGCCAGATTTCAATAGAAAACTGAGAAAAGGTGATACTTATTATTGGAATACAGATATTTTACTTGCTGTTAAATGGTAAGATAAAAGAGAAGCCGCTATGATTTCAACCACACATGAAGAAAAATAGTGAACAGTGGAAAAATTGATTGGAAAACTAACAAACAATTTCAAAGACCAGTATCAGTCGTGGATTACAATACAAATATGGGTTCTGTTGACAGATCTGATATGCAAATCAATTATATTCAATGTGTTAGAACAACAATAAAATGGTACAAGAAACTATTCTTCCATTTATTAGATGTATCTGTTCTCAATTCCTTCATTTTGTATAAGCAAAAGACTCGTAACCGTAGTCGACTTTATGAATTTCGATTACAATTAATTCGTCAAATCACTGAATTATACGAAGGTACAAGAGTAACAAGACCTCGATCTGGTTTTAAAGAACATTCTATCAGACTTACTGGCCGCCATTTTCCTTCGTTTATACCATCAACAACAACAGCAACAACGAAAAATCCACGAAAACAGTGTGCGCCTTGTGCAAAACTACACGGAGAACAAAGAAAAGAGCCGTTTCTAGATATGAATGTACTGAATGCAACGTCGGACATTGTATTTCTAGTTCTTTTTGAGATTATCATACTTCGAAATATTTTTAGATGTCTGTGGGCACTTTTTAATAAATAGATCATACTGACATTCTAAAAATATTCGGTTTCTTTTGCTACAGTCGCCCCGTCCCCAAGGGGTTAATGTTCTGAATTATCTCTCACATTATATTCTACGTTTGAATATGTTGTTATTAGTTAACAGAAGAGAAAATCAAACAGTTTAATTGGTAAAATTGCCCACCGGTGATCGGAAGATGCAGATTCGAGTCCTACTTTGACTTCATGATCTTTTTGGATAAGTTTTTCCTATTTATGTATCTAAGCATATCACTGTGGATACTATGAATGAATTGTAAGCGATAAGCTCGTGGACAAATGAAAAGGTTTCTAATATTTCTTCGTTCTTATACTATGTTCAAACTCACCCTCACCCAAAGGTCGAAACTATAGTAGTAGCATTCTCGATCTATATCTCACACCCATCCACAGCCACACCCTCAAGACATAAAAATAAATAGTGAAACATTTCTTGCATGAAACAAAGTTTGGAATCTTTTTAGGGACACCATTGGTATCAAGTACGGCTGGAAAACCAAATGAACACCAGCATACAGCTGGGTTTTTGCTATTTGAATTGTCGAGAATGACATTTTGAGTTTTATCAAATTTCAAATGGCGCTGAAACTTTTCGCGAGTATAATTTTCCTTAGGCGACAATGCAGGTGAAATTGATGCTTGTGTTGATGATGAAGATGGTTCAGGAATGTATTGATCGAATTGATCAGAATTCATTTTCATTTCAATTCCCTTTATACTGTACAATGATAATGATAAACCCAAAGGAGGAGAATCGGCGTTTTCTGGTTCTTGTTGAAACTTCACGCGAATAGAAATGTCCAATAGATGCCAGTGAAAATCATTCAAAGACAACTTTTCAAGATGATACGGGACTGCAGTATAGCGATCTCATACCGCATGCCGCCGGCCCCCGGTTGTTACAGAAATTTGAGAGTCTCTGTCTACTAACTTTTTTGATGGGCGCTAACATCAGAATTGATACTGGAATTTTATAAGACAACTCACCATCTATTAGAGATGAAGTACTCACTCATAAGATAGATTAAGTTTTGTGGTTAAAACATGTGTGAAGAGAATGATCAATTATATGCTATTATTATTACAAGTAGAAGAGCATTAACATGTGTATGTATCAATTCAGATTACTGACTGAAAAGTTAGAGTTCACAAATTAATCAAAATTGTAGTTGTTAGAATAACTGTAGTAGATATGCCCGTTCGATCACATTTTTGTGAAATATTTTTATTTAACGAGGATTAGTTTCAATACAACTGATATCATTGAATGGAATATTTTGTTAAGTCACACACAATTAAATTTTTTTTCGTTACAATAGGGAAGTGGAAAAAAAAGTAATATGATACTTCGTTACTAGGTAGCAGTAGCTTCCAATGTATCGTCATTATTTTTTGATAGACTAGGTAAATTTGTCTAGACGTGTCCAAACATTTAAACCAATTTTCACACCATCTTTACCAGGTGGACGACCGGCATGAATTGTCAAAGCATCAGGTTCTGCATATTCATTCATATTATACCAAAAGATTGTGTTTCCTGGCAATGGGCGAAATCGAAGGCCACGCGTAGTCGATTCTTCATCACAAATTAAAATATCACAGAATCTTTCATGTAATGATTTATTAAATTTAATTGCTACAAATTCCGTTTCGCCCATGGAACAATTGACTTGAAGATAAGTAAAATATGTCGTTACTCGTTGACCACCATTTTTCAGAGTGTCCGGATGGGTTAGCCAATCAACGTGGGGATCATACTAAAATAATAAATGCCAATAAATCACTGACAAATGATTATTCGTACAGATTGCACGTTGTCTTCTATAGATTATGTTCTGTAATCTGTCATACAATGAACGTCTTGTGATACAAAACAAAGAAAGCTAAATTTTGCTTTTATTACAGACTAAAGTTTCTATTTGCTTTCAAGCTCATGACCTGTTGGCAGATGGAGATTAGGATGTAAAACTGTGACATACTTGTTGATCGTTTGTATATCTGACCACTTGTAATGGCTCGATACAATCAACATCTACATCACCTTGAAATTGAGCGAATCGTCTTTCGATGCATTCTACAATGGGTGTTTCATGGGTTTTGATAAAAGCTGACGTTGATGTTCGATATTTGTTAAAACTCTTTCCTCCGTTCGATTCAAAAATTGCAGAATGTTCATAGTTCCGTTCTCTAATGCATACATATAGGATTACCCGGTAGCAATAAGTTCCCTTCTACTTACGTCAATTTGAGTAAATGCCGGATTTCATTTTTAGTAAGAAACTGTTCAATGTAGATAATTAATGGACTTCGTTCAATGATTCGAGACGCATATCGATGACGAGGACACTGGTATTTATATTGAGATAGATCATAATTATCTATTTTTGATACTTGAGGATCTTTCTTGCAAAATTTCGACTGTATGAAATGAATTGCTTGCTGTCGAACATTTGACTGAAGGTCGATTAGATAATCAATAATTGGAAGGTTTACTTCAGTCGTTTGAAAAAAGATTTCTCGAAGTCGATAGATCTCGAGAAGACAGACAACGGCGATAAATCCAAAGAATACTATTTAACAGAAGAAAATAACTATATGCACTCAGATGTACCTAGTTGACTGACTATATATGCATCTAAGTGCAAATAGCCACTTCATTAATAGAGCTGAGATGTATAAAACATTATCACTTTATCAGACAAGTATACCTTTTACTGCACAACGCATATATATTTTTTTTATTGTTATAGATGAGTATTGCGATGGTTGTTAATCACCGAGCTTGATTTTGGCGTTGATTTTTGTATTTGTATGATGATTCTGCTGTAGTTCTAAAAAGATCGAATACAAAATAATTTATTCTACTCAACATCAGCTTCATTTCGTCAGCCACAAGAATTGGTCGAGTGATACTAGAATCTCTAACACATCAACCAACAGTTACTAACGTAAGGAAAGTTGGCACGATATTCGAGTTATTTTGCCAATATTCATTTCAGTATCTGTGCTGGTGTTTTAAATGGTTGTGTTGGATACAGAATTAAATTCTCTATCGAATGGTGTGGTT